TAGTAGGGCATGCGAGTCTTTTTTTTTAAATTTTATTTATTTGAGGGGCGCTTGGGTGGCTCAGTCGGTTGGGCATCTGCCTTCAGCTCAGGTCATAATCCCAGGATCCTGGGATCAAGTCCCACGTCTGGTTCCCTGCTCAGCGGGGAGTCTGCTTCTCTCTCTCTCTCTGCCCCTCTACCCTTCCACCCCTGCTTGTTCTCTCTCCCTCTCTCTCAAATAAATAAATAAAATCTTTAAAAAAAAAAGATTTTATTTATTTGAGAGAGAGAGAGGGGTGAGGGGCAGAGGGAGAAGCAGACTCCCCGCTGAGCTGGGAGCCTGATGCAGGGCTCGATCTTGGGACTCCAGGATCATGACCTGAGCTGAAGGCAGAGGTTCAACTGACTGAGCCACCCAGGTGCCCCAAGCATGCAACTCTTGATGTCAGTGTTGTGAGTTCAAGCCCCACATTGGGCATGAGCCTACTTAATTAAAAAAATAAAACTTTTTAATTTAAAAAAGGGGAGGAACTAACTCTTAAGCTGGGTGCTAGTTATATGGGTGTCTTATTGTTTTTTATAACCTATGTATTATATTCTTTATAACCTATGTATTATAACCTAATATGTATATACTATATATTTTGTATGTGTGAAATCATTTTTTTTTTTTAAAGAGGATGATGGTAATGCTTTCTCTGTCTCCAGTTCAAATGAGACAACCAAATGAGAAACATTAGCTTCACTTTACTAGGCACTTATTATCAGCTAAGCCCTTGATCTGTATTTCTCCCGTATTCAGCACAGTAACACGGTGAGAGAGCAGATACCATCCAGGGTGAGCACAACCGGCTGGGGCCCCTGGCAAAGCCCCGTGGAGGCATGAGGGGTGCCCATCATAGGCACTAATTCCTTCTGCCTTCCCACAGGTGTTGAAGTCCACAGGAGATGTGGCTGGAGGCCGGGCCCTGTATGAGGGGTACGCGGCGGTCACTGATGCATCCCCTGAGTGCTTCCTCACCCTCAGGGACACAGTGCTACTCCGCAAGGAATCTCGGAAGCTCATCGTTCAGCCCAACACTCGCCTTGAAGGTAATGGACACCCGAGCCCTCTTTGATGGACAGAGGCCTGGAACCCATCCCTGGGCTCAGGAAAGGCTACCTGGGGTGACTCCTGCCTCTCTCCCTCCCTGCCCCAGGCTTCCCCATGCCAAACCCTAGGCCCCAAACCTTGGCATCTGTTACCACCACCCCACACATGCAGGGCTGTGCTGCTTATAAGACAGCAACCAGGGGCGCCTGGGTGGCTCAGTCATTGAGCAGACGCTCAGGGTCCTGGGATCAAGCCCCCCGCATCGGGCTCCGCGGGAAGCCTGATTCTCCCCCTCCCACTCCCCCTGCTTGTGTTCCCTCTCTCGCTGTGTCTCTCTCTGTCAAATAAATGGATAAAATCTTAAAAAAAAAAGACAGCAACCAGAGGTTTGCAGAAGGCCTACAGAGCAAGGGCTAGTGGAACAAACAGACCGCAGGCTTACAGGGAGGCCAGGCACGTTCCTGGAGGATCAGGCCTGTCGGTGCCTGGGGACAAGGTGAGGGGCAGGCATGAGTTGGAACCCAGCAGGCTGGTGGAACCCAAGGGACGATGTGACTGCAGAGCCGGGGAGAGAGATCAGCAGCCCCATGGGCCCCTCCCTTCTCAAGTGATGACTCTCTTTCCAAAAGCCTTGACCCTGTCTGCGCTGCACTTTCACCTGTTGTATTAGAGGCCTGTTCTGCATTCACTTTCCTCTCACCTCCTGACCCATCTTTCCTGACGCCTGTCACGTGAGGCACCTGAGCAGAGGTGGTGCCAGGCAGCTGCTCCGTGACTTGTCTTCATCCATAAAGCCAGTGTGGATTGTGTCCTGACAGTTAGCTACTTCCTTCAAGCTCTTACTGCTTTCCATGTCTTCACTCTTTAAATCCTCCCCGCAGGGGCGCCTGGCTGGCTCAGGCAGCAGAGCATGTGACTCTTGATCTTGGGGTTGTGAGTTCAAGCCCCACATGGGGCATAGAGCGCACTTACAAAAATAAAATAGAATAAAATAAATCCTCACCATAACCCAATGAGGTAGTTACAGTTTACATTTTACAGTTAAGAAAACTGAGGCACAGAGACAGAATCATTCAAGGCTTACAGCTCTTTACCGGACGAGCCTAGAGGCAGATGAAGAGCGCTCCTCACTCTCACAGTCACGGGCAGTTGTGAAGGTTAAATGAAATAATTACCTCCTACTGGCAAGGAAAACACATTTGAAAGGCTTATTTCCAACTCTTTATGTTGCACTCCAGAGGCCCAGGGGATTTGGCCCCGACCCCTGCCAGGCCTCAGGGACCCCTCCTGGCTCACTGGCCTCCAGGCTCATGGCCTTTCCATTTCTCCAACGCCTCCGGGAACATCCCGCTCCACTCCCATAGCCTTTGCACTCACTGTCTCCTCTGCTGGGCACAGCCCTCCCCCAATCTTTGGTTGGTCCTTCCTGTCATTTTGGTCTCTGTTAAATGACACCTCCTGGGAGAGGCTGTCCCTGACCCCTCAACCTAAAGCAATCCCTTCACGCACTGTCACTCTGCTATTTTCCCGTCTGCCTTGCTTCCACATTAGCAGCAAGTAGTTAGCATAGGGCCTGGCACACAGGAGCTGCTCAATGCATGTCAAATGAGTAAATGGACAAATCATGCCAGACACATAGTAAGTGCTCATTACAACATCATTGCTTTGATTGTCCAGCCCTGTGTGGGCCCTTGGGGATGGAGAGGTGAATCAGACCCAGGCCCTTGCCTCAAGTAGTCCGCAGTCCATTAGGAATATGACCTAGGGAGAAATGGTCACACCCAGGGAGCATTAATAAGCAGCCAAGAGGCCCAAACGGTGGTCAGGACACTTAGAGAAGGGAAGATCACATTCCCCTTTGAGGGAATCAGGGAAGGTTCTGAGGAGGAAGTGGTTAAACTAAGCCTGAAGAGCAGGTGGGGTTTTCAAAGGTATGGTGGTGGTGATAATGGTGATGATGGTAAAGATGATGAGTAACTTTGGAGGACTTTTATGTGCCAGTCACTGGGTAAAACTTTGCATGGATTAACTCCCAACAACCCCAGGGGGAAGTTATTGCCCCCATTTTCAGCTGGAAACTGAGACACTGAGGGGCCATGTATTTACCTGAGGTCAACAGTTAGTGGGCGGCAGAACCAGGATTTGAACGTGTGCTGTCTGAACCCAAAGCCTTGGGTTCAAGGGACCCTTGGAACAGCCCATGAGTTAAATTGGTACCCTTTTGGCTCTGCTCGGTGCTTGAGATAATGATGCTAGGGATAGCTAGCACTTGACAATTCACTCAAGGCATTATTGTATCTAATCACTGTAGGTACTGTGCTCACCCCCACTTTATAGGTGAGGAAAATGAGGCTTAGTGAGGTTGTGAAACTTGCCCAAGGTCCCACAGTAGATAGAGATAACGCAATTGTTGGACTGTAAGCTCCTGGAGTCCAAGGGCTGTGTGTTTAACCTAACATGGCACCAGAGTATATACTTATTAAGTGAATGAATGAATGAATGAATGCAACAGTTCATTGAATCCTCCCCCTTTAATGCTTCCTTCTTCATAGAGTTATTGTAAGGATTAAATTAGGTGATAAAACACTGAATACAATTTTTGGCACAAGATAAGAGCTCAGGAAGAGCTACCTGCTCCTATGATTATGCTTGCGATTCTCCGCTTCCTATTAAAACCTTTTCCTGCTGCTTCTTCTCTGTCTCCCCAGGCTCAGAAGTTCAGCTTCTCGAGTATGAGGCCTCGGCTGCTGGCCTCATCCGATCCTTCTCCGAGCGCTTCCCAGAGGATGGGCCCGAGTTGGAGGAGGTCCTCACCCAGCTGGCCACAGCTGATGCCCGGTTCTGGAAGTCCCCCAGTGAGGCCCTATCTGGCCAGGCTTGAGACAGATTTATGCAGCTCCTCCCCCAGCTCCATCACACCAGGGCTGCAAGTGGCCGCCCCCCTCCTGCATGTGCCAGGGGAGGAGCGGGAGCTCGGACCTTGGTGCTACCTCAGCCGAGGGCGGTGACACTAACCCCTTCCATTTGTCGGCACTTTCCAATTTACCGAGCGCTTCTCCTGTGTTATCTCATTTGATCTGCTCTGCCCTTGGTAGAGTGGGCAAGGCCCGGCTCCTTATCCTGCTTCCCAGGTAAGGGAATGGAAGTTCTGAGAAGTGACCTATCTAGATGCGACAGGACTCAAAGCCTCTCCCAATCCAGTGCTCTTCATGTATTACTTTTATAACCAGAAAATAAACATAAGAAATCACCACCATCTTTGCGATTTGTGTGAATCCTTGCCTTTGCCACACTTCTCATTTGCTCCCAGCAGGGTAATGGGGAAGGGAAGGAAGGTCAGTTTTAGGTTCCCCTCCACAACAGGATTTTGGTATCACCTCTAAACAACGAGGCACAGCCACAAGGAGGAACGTGGCACAATTTTTACAGTCCTCCTTTGTGGTATTTCCTGTATTTTAAAATATTCCAGGAACCTAAAAACTGGAAACTCTCAATTTCAGTCAGTCCTAGGATTTAATCTCTTAACCCTGTGCTTTGTTTCTCTGAGCCCAGACCTCTAGAATAAGATGGGAAGAAAGGACATGGCCCCTTTTCAACCGGGTTAACCATGAGGAGGAAGAGGGTGTAGTATTAGTTTTGCTCCTCAGAAACACTAGAAAGGCTGCTCTCCAGGCCAGAGGGTCCTGCCAATAATCCAGAGATCGCAGGGCCCAGAGGTTCCGGCTGGGAAGGAGCAAAGATAAATCCTACGAGCTGGGATGAGGGATTGCGCCTCGGCAGGCAGAAACCCAACTAAGGCCAGCGTATACCTGCATGGTGGCCTGTTGGCCCTGGGCCGGAAGGCCTTGCGCCCGGAACCTTTGTACGCGCTCTTCCCAGCACGCTTCCCAGAGCCCGGGCTCTTTTCGGCGTTGCGCAGCAGCTGGCCGGAGCCGGTTGCCACGGCGACGCCTGCAAAGATGGCTGCTGCGTCTTCGTCGGATTCCGACAGCGGCAGAGCTGAGAGGTGAAGGCCGGGGTCCTCGAGCCCTCCTTTCCTACAAACGTAAAGAGGGGGGCTTGGCCCCGGGATCTGGGCTCCTGCGCTTCTCAGCGCTGGCAGTCCTTGAAGGGATCTGAGGGTTCAAACAGGGAAACTGAGGCCCAAGGAGTGAATGAATGTGCGTGTGTGAGTGACTCTAGGTCACTCAGTGAGCTTATGGTGGAGCCTGGACTTGGCCCCAGACGTCTGTACCCCTATTTCAGAGCCCCCTACACACCCCACTCTCAGAGACTAGCTCCCGCAAAGTTTTCTTCCCCTCCCTTGGGACTCAGCCGCCAACTCTTCCCTTCTCTGCCAGCAATGAGGCCAGTTCGAAATGGCTGGACGCACACTACGACCCCATGGCCAACATCCACACCTTTTCCTCCTGCCTGGGTAAGTCTCTGGGACCAGGAGATGGAGTCAAATGACGGTTCTGTAGCGAAGTCTCAAGGATTGGGAAACCCTGGTTCATGGCCCTTTTGTGTTTTCCAGCGCTGGCAGATTTGCATGGGGATGGGGAGTACAAGGTAAGCATATCACCCGGCAGAAAGAGAATTGGGGCGCGGGGAAGCATCAGAAGTGAGATTTCCTGATGGCTCCAAAGGAGTTCAGCATCATCTGGAACCCACGTGTACCCTGAAAAAGTACATTTAGTGTTGTTGTTGTTTTTTTTTTAATTTATTTATTTGACAGAGAGAGAGCACAAGTAGGCAGAGCGGCAGGCAGAGGGAGAGGGAGAAGCAGGCTTCCCGCTGAGCAGGGAGCCCGATGCGGGGCTCGATCCCAGGACTCTGGGATCATGACTTGAGCCCAAGGCAGGCGCTTAACGACTGAGCCACCCAGGCGCCCCTAAATTTTACTTTTATGTGGATGGTGAAGAGAACCTGTTGATTCTGTAATACAGACCGCAGAAAGGAAAGCAGAACAAATGCTGCCGGGGATTCTACTAAGACAAAGCCTCTTAATTTTGTTAACTTGTAATTCTTTGCTGGAAGGACACATCCCTTGGGGGGGGCGGGGGGGGCGGGGCGGGGCATTGGAATCTGGAGAGAAAGTAGAAGAGAGGGAAGTGAAAGTTTTATGTTTATTAAAAGAGCATAGATTTTAAGATTTAAGATTAGCCATGAAGCTAATCTTCATTGTTGGATGGCAGGTATTTGGAGGTTCATTATATGAATCTCTCTGCTTTTGTATATGACTGAAACTTTCCATAATAAAAAGGTTGAATTTTAAGTTTAAAACATAAAGATAAATAAAATGTAAATTAATTAATTAATTTAAAAATTAAAGGTACAGGTTTTTAAAAGATCGAGAAATATTTTGCGCTTACAGAAAGGAAATTAAACCTATATTTAGTGTCCATTTCTGGGCTAGACCCTCTTTGAGCATTTTCACATACATAGATATTATTTATTACCAATTTGTTAATGGGAAAATAGATTCAGAGAGGATGAGTAAGCTTAGTAAATTTGTAAAAAGTGGCAGACCTGGGCCTGTCACATTCCCAGTCATGTGTTTGTTCCACTGTTGCTCAGCCGTGGGCAGTGAACCCACAGTGGGCATGCTATTTGGGCCATTAGAAGATAGCTCTGGAATCATACCCTTCGTGGTGAGTACAGTAGAATTCGGTGGACTTTTGACTCCAAATTGCTATCCATAGAGCATTCTGCAATTTGGCAAGTGTGCAGCGAACCCCTACTGTGTGTCAGGCATTGTACCGACACGAAACTAAGAAATGAATCAGTACACAGTTGGGAGGAGATACAGACCCTGGCCTTAGTTTATCATTTATCCATGATATCGACTGAATACCTACTGTGTGCTTGGCAGTTAAAGGTATAGAGATCACAGCCTCAATAACTAGCATGAAATATAAGATGCTTTTGTGTAATCATTTCTTTAATGGCTAGTTTGTTGATTCCCAGCATCTAGCCCAGTGCCTGGCACAAATTAGGTAGTCAGTAAATATTTGTGGAGTAAATGAGTGGATGCTAAAATCGAATATATGAAAAGTATGGGAGCAGCAGGGAGAGAATGGTGAGATCTATCTGGACGTACCAAGAGGCAGTAATACGTGAACTGGGTATTGAAGGATGAATGAAATGTATCAAGAAGGTACAGAGGGAAGGAGGGGGAAGGCATTCCAGTCAGAGGGAACAGCACAAGTGGAGGCGCAGAGGCTTAGAAGTTCGTAGCATATTTGGAAAGAGTAATTTGGAGTTAGAAAGTGAAAACCAATAAAAAATAGTAGTTAAGACCACTGGCTTGGATTCAGACAAACCTAGATTCCAGGGGCGCCTGGGTGGCTCGGTTGGGTGACTGCCTTCGGCTCGGGTCATGATGCTGGAGTCCCGGGATCGAGTCCCACATCGGGCTCCCTGCTCAGCAGGGAGTCTGC